GATACCAGACACGTTGTGAGATGCCGCTCAAGACTGTCAAATCTGCTGGGATGTCTTTGGTACACCGAGGGCATGCCAGCTCATGCCAGGCCAGCGCTCCTATCATTCAGCATGTTTGGATAGACAAGGTTTGAGTAAGGCACCCTCACCCTATGCTTAATTTCTTCCCTTGGTAAGCCAGTGGGCCCCTCTGACCTTGTGCCAACATGTAAGCACCCAGATGACCTAAAACTTGGGCATTAAGCACAGGTCAAACCCTTGGGCAATATGCCCCCTAAAGCCACACCCACTACAACCAGAATTTTAATGCAGATTTAAAGAAATACGCCTCCATCACCTCTGGCTTGCTCCCTCACTCCCCAGGGGCTGGGGGTTCATACTGCCCTATGAACTTCCTCCCTCATTGTACTTGCAGTTCAAAAGAAAACAAATCTTCAGACATCCTCCATCCTTCCCCCTGCCACCCATCATACTCACTCCCTGCTCCGAATTCCTTTTCCATTACTTGATTGGGGTCCACTCTGTGCACCCCACCCTTGTGCCTGTACTCGCTCATTGCAATAATCCGCTGAAGCCAAGGCTTCTGCCCTCAATTCTCCTATAGCTTTCTGCTGGCAGCCTTTTCTTCACGCTGCTGCCTGCTTGCATGAGAGGTACCCAGCGATGCAGAGGATGACAGTACATTATCAAACGGTAGAAACAACACAGTATCACATCTTCAGTGTTTTAAACATGCTTTTCCATTTTTGTAACACCATGTTTCAGGTTCAAAAACAGTATCTGTTTTTTTTTCAGGGTGAAATGTAACCTGGCTTTCAGACTCAAAATGGAAAAAAGTATTCGTTATTGGAAATGTGAAAAAGAAATGTGTATATAATGAATAAATTTCCCTACTGGAACAAGGTGCTCAGTAGATTCCCATTTCAACACATGGCCTTGTTATTTACCACATTAAAAGCAGTTTGGTTTTCTGATGTTACAATAATTGCATTTTTATAAAGGCATTATGGGCTGTGTGACACTCAGACACCTACCCTGTGCTATTTATTCTATGGCCAGGTGAGATGGAGGGGTTACATCAGCAAGATCCTGCATCTCTCCCTCTCTCTCTCTCCCCCCCACTGTATATTTTGATAAGACTCCTTTAGTATGGTAACTGAATACCGGGCATATTCATTAGCCTAAGCAAACTGTTCCTTCTCAGCCTGCCCAACAGAAAACCAGGCCAGTTTCAGCTGCATACGTATGTATTCCACTTGGAGCAAAACAGGCACATTTGGTTAGTGTAACAATTTTTTTTATTTCAGTTACTTTTTCACATATAACTTCATGTAAGCTACAAAAATTGTGAAATGCAGAAATGATATTAAAACTGCAAACTCAGAAGTCTTGATAAAAAAACGTGTCTTTCCCTGCTAACAATGACCATTTAAAATGAACCATATTTTGATGGATTCATTTAACAAACATACCATACACTTCTCAAAAATAAATAAAGAACAACATCAGAAAAACCATCAACAACATGAAGCATTTAGTTGTCTTTTTTTTTCCTTTAAAGACAGAAATGAAATTTCTAGGCACAGTTTTAGGCATTATAGAGGACACAGAGGCAATAGGTTAGTGTGCACTGCTCTGTACAAAAATACAGTCTGAATAAATTACATTGCTAGCCATAAGATTAGACTTCACTTACCAGTCAGTTCATTGCATGTTTAATAATATACAGTTACATGCTAATCCATATATATCATTTATATTTCAAACACATAGGTCTCTCTATATTTGTTTTTAAAATTTACAAAAGCTAAACGAAGTTGTGCAAGAAATCCAGAAGAGGTGCTAGGTACTTGTCAGCACCGGACGGTATACTTTAAGCTTAAAAAATACAAATAACTAGCCCTGCTTGCAAGTTTGCTATATATATATTTATTCATACGTATTTGGAAGAAAAACAATGGATTTGTGTGAGAGAATCATCCTGCCAGTGAGAGAAAGCCAAACAAATGAAATAATGGTGGCATGACATAAGCACAACATACAAAATGATTAATTTGTCATACATACACTCAAGACACAGATGTGTATCCTTTCTGTGGCTAGAAAAAAAAAAATCAGCGTAATGTTGTATTTACTTTTAGTTCAGTGCTGAGAAACAGAATGCTTGCCAAAACTGGCAACGGTAAAGGGGGAAAAAAAGAAACGGCAGTAGCAACATAAGCTAAAGGTAGGTACCTAAACCCATATTAGATGCCCAAATGCAAAGGACCTGAGGAGTTTGAGGTGTGTCCTAATAGATTGCATTATCTTCAAGAGGAAAAGCAGGTGTTGAGACTGAAAACCAGATCTCTGACTCAAATATGAATGAAGAACCTTGTCTTCAGGCATTCACATTTGTAGATTTTTTTGCCTGAATGTCTTTCATATTAAGAGCCGGGTGACTTTCAGAGTGCATGCCACTAATTTGCGTATGCCTTACGCCTGATAGTTGTTTTTGCTCAAACTCTACATAAAGAAAAGTTACTTGATAAATCAGTAGATACGATATGGGTTCAGCACTGTACCTTCTTGTTAGCATAGGCGAAGTGCCATGCAATGTCAGCACCAAAACACCATCCTCCTAGAAAGGTACAGAAATCTTATCACAGTGGGCTTCTCTACGTTAACCTAATTCCCATGCCAAACTACAATGTTCTCCATGCTGCTAAATAAAAGCAGAACTACACAGCTGTTCAGAAAGATACAGAATTAACTATATACTGAATATCCGCCTTAAGTCAGTCTCAGGAAAAAAAAGCAGAGTTACAAACGCTCTCTGGCGCTTGTGAAACAAGTGGACATAATTTTTCCTCCCATCCTTTTTGTTCTCCAGGCATTGCCATAAAATCCCTTCCAAGTCAAGCTATCATTTTGCTCCGTCTCATCTAATTAATCACCACTGATCCTGGAAAGGCTGCCGATATGAATGCTGCCATGGTATTAAAGATTTAACTCCAGAAAGCCCCAGAGTTTTGGAAACCATCTCCGTACGTCAGCAGTACTTTCACAACAACCACCTAAAGGCAGTCCTGTGGTCCCACGGTCATTGCAGAACCTCTGCACCCTGTCAACGGTGGCACAAGCATTAGCACTGTAGATGCAGTCCTAACATCGAGTAATTCAGCAATCTTTTCCGTGGAACCAGCAAAACCATTTGTGTAGAGGTGGATGTGCAGCCCCAGCATATCTGCTTTTGCAGAGGTCCACGCAGAATATATTTTAAATTTCTCCGTTAAAAAAAATAGTTATTTCTAAAGATTAGAATTGTATAAAAATATGTTCATAATTAATTGAAAATATCCAAATAAGCAAATCGTAAACAAAAATAAAAGTGATGCGGATTAAATTCATGTGAAAGTTCTCCCTATTTTATCTTGGGTTTCATTTCATGTGTACAGTCTCTGGATGTTTTAAGTAGGAAACATACTAAGCAAGGAGTAATTAGACATACATAATCATCAGCCAGTCCATTATAAACTCAGCTTTTAAAAACAAGAGATTACCTCCTGAAGTGCTAATGTTTTAATATGGACACGATGGGGTCTCAGCTGTATTCTTGATGATCAGAGACACTCACAACCTAACTAGATTTTAAAAAAATGGCAGTTTTGTCTTTGCAACAGCCTTAGAAAACATTTTTTAGTAAGTACTAGATTACACATGGAATAGCAAGTAGTTATTTTGTCCAGTTCTACCTTAAATTGATGTGAACTTTTAAGCATTTCCCGTAACACAGAGTCTGTACAAGGGCATATACAGAAGACAAACCATTTTATGTTTATTTTGTAACACCAACCAAAATTGGGGTATCAATCCAAGACTCTCAAGAATGCGTACAAAGTTAGTATTTTAACCACTGCATCACAGCTCATATTACAATTTTAAGATGAATCGTCTCTCTCCCTCTGCATTTATATTTGTATTATATATATTCATTTATACTAACAAATACCTTTCAAAAATATAACTGAACTTGTTCCATATGCACTCTTTTCATGACGATGTTCGGAAGTTAAATGGGTACTTAGGACAACTGCAATTCATTCATGCATTTTAGATGCCTCGGGGACAGATGAGGTCGTTTTCTACTCCCCCTTATCTCCACCCTCCCAGCAAAATACTCAGAGCTGAGACAGCTTCCAACTACACAGTCAGAAGCACATGTCTCCGGGTTTGGACTTCCTTCAACAATCTGCTACAGCTGGCACGGTGATGTCATTTACCAATTCATGAAATCCTGTGTGGTTGGTGGCTTGTTTTTTTTTTTTTATTATTATTCTCCCAGAAGACTGTTGAATGCAGATATTGGACAAGTCATTAACCAGTTACAGTCACTGCCCTCAACACAGTCACTTGCAACTAATTCCTTAAGAGCTTTTTTGAGCAAGTAACAAGGGGCCAACACAGCCTATTGTACAAGATGCCATTGCCTGCTTATCAGACATTTGAATCCTCTATGATGCAGGGAAACTTCTAAATGGAGCCTATACCAGCTGCTCCCCTGAAGGCAATAGCAGATGCTGGCGTTGCATTCTCATTCCAACTAGTTTTCTCACAATGATCGCTGTCACGTAGATCCTTTTGCTTGTTGTCAGGAAAAATGAAGCTTGTGTATCAGCAGCTTGCAGCATCTGCCTACGTAAGATCAGCAATCCTAGTGTTTGCGGTTCTTTTAAATGGTTGTAAAAGCTGGTTATAGTGTTCACACCCAAAAGGCAAAGGCTATTTTATCAACAGAGCAGACTGTTTGGTGCTCCACAAGTGTTCTAAAAAAACTGTGAGCTAGAAAAGATGGGGTAATCCTTTTGTTATTTTTCTTTTCATTAAATGATTCTAGTAATAGTCTTCATAGTTCTTAGGGTTCAGGCAATAAAGAATGGCACCCCCAAATGAAAATATAGTTGCACCCCAAGCCAGGCCATAGCCCCAGTTGAACTCATGGTATATTTTCAAGCTGACCGTTTCGATGAACTTGATTGGGTAAAGGACTAAGCTGCACACCTGAAGAACAACTGAAAGAGAAAAAACCCGAATGTCAGAAGAAGCCTCAATTCATTTCCATAAAACAAGGAAAACATCACATAACTGAAATTCACATTTAAAATGCTCTTGGTGCATTTTTAGCTTGTAAGTACTGCTCTTTTTGAAAAAATATCACCTTCATTTCATCCACAGAGAACAGAGCAGTTCTTCCATATTCCCTTGTTGATGAACAAATGTTATTGCTATGGTATAACGATGATCCTTCAGATGTCCAGAAATAAACAGTGAAAGCAATCTTTTCCCAATTCTTTTCTGTCCCTCCTTTGTATTTTAGTTTGCAGTCGTTACTCCTTCCATAATAACAAAACTAAGATCACTTGTTCTATAGCCATTATAAATAAGTCAAAATGAGAAGCAAGAATAAACTGGTATTAAGAACCATAGCTCCAAATCAAGTCATTTACTTAGCATAGAAATAATTCATTGTAGTAGGTGATACATATTTATGTTCAGTAGACACTCACTGAATTACATATGTCATATGCGTTACTGTGTACTGTAATCAGAATTAATGATATTGTTACACAGAATACCAAGGAATCCATAAAGTTTGATCAGTCACTAAACCTCCAACTGGCAAAACATTGCCTTGTATTACGAATTTAGGGGGTGGGTCAGAAATGCTTCATGATGAAAAAACGCTAATAAAACAGATCAAATCCAAGGCAGTAAAAAGCTTAAAAATCATTACTTCCTACAGCACTGTCTCTGAGAGCACCAGATCTCCTGCAGCCTGATCCACATGTCTGCACTGGAATTCAGCAAACCTGTTAATTATTGTGCTACATCAAAAAAAAAAAAAAAAGACAACCACAGTAAACTGAAAAGGAAAACACACAGATTAAGAACCCCAGTTTTCACAAGAAGATTTCGGTTTCATCAGCATCCATTCTCTTTTAAATTCAGGCATGCTGTTAACAGAAAATTGGGACAAGAGTTTCCAAGTTAAGAGGTGAAAATCACACTTGGTTTGAAGACAAGAACAAGCTGTATGATGTAGTGATTCTTCAAGCCTCTAGTTCTGCCACCCACAAAAGACTAAACATCACAGGAATGTACAAAACATCCTTTTTGCCCTTCAAATATATGATATGGCCTTATTGCAGTGCTTTCTTCCAGCATTTAACACTAGCAATTTTTAAAGACTTCAGCACGTGACTGCCTCTGCAAACTGCCCCAGCCCCCTGATTACAGCCAGGGTGGGCACATCCACACAGTGAAGCACGTGCTTAAGTATTTGCAGGCCTGAGACATACACGATGAAAGTTCAATGGTATGCAATGTAATGCCATAACAACTACTTTCTTTAACATTGACTGGGTCATTTTTTACAGTTTATTAGGTATTGTAAGAACGACAAACACTATTTAGGAATTGTTATAAAGCCAGCGCCAATATAAAATGCCAGTGGATAACAGAAAGGAACACTACTTTGGACTACAGAAACCCTTCTGAAGCTATACTGAGAAATTACAGGAAAATAAAATAACGTTAATTATATTCTCCTACTGCTTGAACACTTTGCACACTCAAAAATCTGTCATTCGCCTTTTCAGTCCCACATGCACTCTTTAGTGGTGTCAAACGGGCACCTTTCATTAGCCCTGGAGACTAACGCTCTCCTGTCCTCTGGATGGGGACTGGCATGGAGAAATTATTTCCAATGTTCATTACACATCCTTGGTGATAACGCTTCACAAAACACTCATTGGAAATGTCTTCCCCCCCTCCCCATCCACTTAGCCTACAGACTAGTCTTTGGACTCTTACTTGAGTCTGACAATCTGAATAATGTTTGGATAGTGGATTTTCTGATGTGGATGCCAAAATCCATAGGATTTCTTTAATCCTGAAGTTATTGAAGTGTTACTTTGTGTTATTCCATTTTAATATAATTTTTGTCTGCCAGCTCACAAAATACTGCGCAGCACTGGAGAAATTTTGACAGGGTACACTAGGGGAAGCGCCTACACTTATGAGAAGATTATGCATTCCAATTCTGTATAATGAGAGCATCATTACACCCAAAAATACCTGAACATATGCTCAGCTTTCAGACACATCTTTAACACCATTCAAAGTCAAAAAGGATTTCCTAATATGAATGGATATAAGCAAGTTCTTCAGTGGCTTCCCAGACCGGGGCTGCAGCATCTCTGCTGAGTCAATACAGGAGTTGCTCCGTGTGTGTGTGTGCATCTGTGTCCGTGTCAAGTTCCAACCAAGGAAGCTCTCCACCTTCCCTCAATCTAACATATGAAGTATGCTGAATTTTAACCTACAGATTGGACTTGTCAAAACAAAACAAAAAAGTGATTCTGTTGGTAGAGGAATGTGCGGCTAAAGGAGCAACACCCACAACGGGTATTTTAGACATTTTTATAGTGAGGGTTCCTGCTTTTGCTGCTACTGGTCCAGCTACACTATTGTAAAGCTCAAAGGAAGTGCTGGCAGCAACCGGCCAGCGGAAACACCCACACTGCATAACATTGCCGGCGCTTTGCGCTATTTTTGCCTCCCGTCATTGTTTCTCCCTGTAGAGTGGGAAGGGACCTGTGTAGGCCAGAAACAACAGTTAGTGAAATTATGAAAAACAGCCAGTATGACCCCAAAAGATGCTAAAACCAATGCTTGCAACTACTGATCTGCTTCCAATGAATTTAAAGGAACACCATGATTTGTCGACCTGCTTATGGGAAGTGTGTGTATTACCTTTCTTCAGAAGCGTTAGACTTTTCCTGTAGAAAAAAATGCTCCAAAAGAAATCTTAAAAAAAAAATAATAATAATTCCACTTTAAAATGCTACTGAAAAAAGACTAGTCATCTCAAACTAGACTATTCACTTCAAGTTTAGACCCATTTTTATGACTAACACTATGATGCTTGCAAGACAATTGCACAGGAACAGCAATACTAGTTTTGTTCCATTTACATGAAATATATGCAATTATATGTACTCATCATATTAAACACACAGAAATCACAACAAACGCTTTAAAACTAGGTAAATATAATTCAGTCATCTTTTTTTCCTTGTTCAAATGTTTGACTACAACAGTTTTGCTGTCCAAAAAAAACCAAACTTATGGTGTGGCTTTCTAATTGGTCTATATTTATGAAAACGGTGGTGCTGGCTAGTAAGTTCTGTATTTCTGTTCTCTACACCATTCCTCCTGCTCATTCACATGAGTAAAGCATTTAATTGTTGCAGTTTCAAAGATTAACACACATGCAACCGCTATCTAGGAAGTTGTTTGTACTTAATACAACCTATGCAATTAATTGGGAAGCAGCATGAAGAGAAAGGGGGTCCATGATGATTTTTAAAATACTGCTAGCTCAAGAACAGACCAGGCAGACCAGGAATTTCACGAGGAGGACCGGTTGACCAAACAGGGAGTTTCTCAATGAATGTGCAAGAAAGGGGCACACAAGAGCAGGAAACAAGGACAGGCAATGAGAGGGGAGTATAAAAGCATTGTTTTGATACTTAGATACAAAATCAGGAAGTTTGAAGCCCAGCTGGAGCCCAACATTAAGCTCGGAAACGGCAAAAAGGGTAGTAAAGAAGAATTTCCACAGATGCATTAGTTGCAAAATGAAGTTCAGAAAACGTATTTATACAATGATGGACAGGAAAGCCAGTCTAGTGACAGATGATGCACCACGACGTTGTCTCCAAAACCTCTAAGTGACATGGTTTGGGAGGGCGTCGGCAGTGCAGGAACAAGTTAGGGATGATTTAGAGTTGCATCCGTATCTATGGTGACAGACGGGATTGACCCAAGGGTGACGAAAGGTGTGGCCAATGCGATCGTGACCCTCTATCATCTATGAAAAATCACAGTGATCAGGAGATATTCAGATGATTAGAAAAAGGTTAATGTTGTGTCCACCTTTAAAAAGGCTAGAAGTGAAAGATCCACAGAATTACAGGCTGGGCAGCCTCAACTCAATCCCTGGAAACATCATGGAGTACATCCTCTTGGAGTTCACCTCCAAGCACATGCAGAACAAAGCGGCAATCAGTAGCGAACATGGATTCACCAACTAAGGACAATGGTCCCGAGAGCTGTCAAGATAATCAGAATTCTGGAGCAAATCATCCTTAAGAGGAGTATGAGGGAGCTAGGTTTATTTAGACTCATGAAGAGGCGGCTAAGGAGCCATTTCAAAGCAGCCTACAGTTACCTGAAAATGTAGCTGCAACTATAATAGGAAAAAAACCCTCTTCTTTGTAGTGCCAGGCAACCTAAGATAATGGCAATGGACACAAACCTCAGTTTCAGAGATTCAGGATGGACATCAGGAAAGAAAAAAGTATCATAAAGAGGGTAGTATGACACCAGGACAACATGCCTGGAGAAGTTGTGGAATCTTCATCCTTGGAGTTCTTCAAGACTGGTCCAGACAAAGCTGCAGCTGATTGACCTAATATTAGCGATTGTCCTGCCTCAACAAGAAGGTTGGACTACATGACCTATAGAGTTTCTTTTCTATCAATATTTCTTTGATGCTATGACTGTTTTTACTGCCCTGTAGCAACTTGCACTACATCCTACTGAAGTCAGTCCTACTTTTTCAGACTATTCGATCAATTTCCCAAAATCAAATTCTGTCCTCCAATGTATCTGCATTTTTTTCTAGCTTCACTGTAAAAATTTGACAAGTAGACTTTTATTTTATCTTCCACATCATTATGAAAATAGGTAATAGCACAGAATTCAGGACACAATCCAGCCGGACTGTGCTCTGACTCTCTGTCAGAATGGAAAGATACATCCTCTAAGTCTTCTCAAAGTATTATCTGCCATCTTTTTTTTTTTTCTTTTTTTTTTTCGTTTTTTCCAAGTATTATCTGCCATCTTTTTTTTTTTTTTTTTACTCTCTCACCTCTAATACTTTCACTTTGCCACTGTTTCCCTAGCTTACATGTAAAAGCATCCTGTGAAATGTGCTAAAAAGCTTACTAACCTCACCAGGTTATTCTTCTAAACATTGTTAAAACATAGCCCCCGAAGGCAAACATCTTTTAAATTACCTTTTTTGTTTGCTTTTATGGACTTTCAACAATCACACTTTCTCTTTCTACCCCTAAATTAAGTTGTCTGGTAACCATGAGACTCCGACACTGACAAGTTTGTGAGCTAGTACTTTAAGGATGCAGCTTTCAGGGCCAGTTTGGTTCATGAGCACTAAGACACCCCAGCAAGAATGTAAGCTAATGACTCTACTAGACCGAAAATGCTGGGAAGAGCTGTATGAGCCAAGGTGGCTCCACGCAAGAGTGTCCTGCAACTGCCTCTCTGTATGCTCCACATTTTTCCATTACCTGAGGTATTCCTGTTCCTCTCCCCATTACACAGAGCTGACAGTATGTATTTTAAACACATTCACATCTGTTGATCATTCGCTGGCTTATTCTCAGTATATAGGTGGAATTTTTTTTTTGTCCCTTTGCTTTCTCACCTCTTTCAGTCCTAGTCAGTCAATCTTCTTCCTCACCTACAGAGTCGCTAACTGAAACCTGAAGCTGAGAAAAAAAAGAAAAATAAATAAAAACAAATCAAAACTAGAAGAAAAAAATGCCTGGAGCCAACTGTTTGGACTCTAAAGTGCCTGGAAACCACTTTTCCATTTAGTGCTTTCTCCCACACAGAGACATTTCCTACCTGACACCCACACAGATCATTAAATGTCTCCGGGCAATTCATCCCATGTCCTTCTTCCAGAGGCAGCTGGTAGACTCCTAACCAGAGTCATACAGAATGTTTGGTCTTGTCAGCAGATTCACAGGTCAGGGTGGGGTTTATCCTCAAAGATCTTCTGTGAAATCCACAGGTGAAAGTTTGAATCCATGGACAGTTGCATATGGCACAAACTCCACTGTGCTGCAGTCTTAACTTTCCCCTCTTCAGTAGGTGACTCTTCCCATAATTCTTTCAAGACATGCCAGTCCATAATCACCTCTAAAAATAGCTGACATCAAAGATAATATCTGTAGGAAATGACACTAACAATGTCAGCATCAAACCCCAAAAGGATTCTCCTCAGATTTGCCAGATAATAAAGAAGAATGGGGCAGGCTGTCTCGGCCTCATCATCTCTCTTCTTACATGCTTCACATCACGGCTATTCAAAATGCACGTGCATACACACACAAACACACAGAGGCAAAGGAAAGAGGTGAACACCACTCATGAGCTAAAGCACCAATGTATTTTCCTTTTTTGATTCAAGTAAGCATTAAACCTCCCTCCCCCCGCAACTTTTGCGGTAAAGACTAGAACTAATTTTATGCAGAGAAAAACAGATTAGGCTTTAAGCCAAACAGCAGGATTTGGGGAATTTTTTTGCTTTTTTTTTTTGTACAAACAACTATATACTAAATGAGCAATATGGCAAGACAGGCAGCGTATGGCTGAACGATTACTAGGTTACTACACAATGTTACGAGACATTAAGTCAAAATCCAAATAAGAAATCACTACAGAAATTCAGTAATTCCATTTCTAAAGTTAATTGCCCAGCATGCTTTATAATCTCAGAATTAATACTAAATTTTAAAATAATGTCACCAGTGCCTTTATTCATTCACCCAAGCAAGCAATGCAACACATAGAACAAAAAGATATGATTTCTGCGCAGGAAATCTGATCCTAGGTTGCATTCATTTCCTAAAAGCAACTGAAATATAACCTACCAATACCTCTTGAGCAAATAAAAGTGCATCTTGAAGCGCTGCGGCTCAATCAAGGTAACGTTAACAGCAGGGGGCAGCAGGAGCCTTCCCCGGAGCTTTATTTCATTCCTGAATGCCCTGCAAATTCTGTGCTCTTGTCTTTTCATATCCTTGTAAGTGGCTTTTTTTTAATACATCCCAAAGACTAGGTTCTGTCATCCTCTTCATTATGGGCTATCAGAAGGGGCTTAAGCTGCTGGCTCCGATGCAGATATGAGTGACAGGATGAAGGCAAACCATGCTTGGCGAATCTCAGGAGAAATGGAAACATCCATGCTGACTAAGCCTCAAAACACCAGAATGTACAAAAGGAGATGATTTGATATTGTAATTATACCTCACTGGACCAGTCTTACAGACAATTCAGATTCATAGGTCTCCCTTAAGATTTTGTGATAGTTTATATAAACTGTTCCATTTTCATGTTTTTAAAACCAAACAGGGACTACACTGTGACAGCTTGTTAAATTAATAACTAAGTAAGCAAGCTGACACAATGAAATTAATTCCTCATGGCACAAGGGCGTACACAAACACCTTGCAACATAATCCTATTTATTTTCACACGTAGGGCTTCAAGGGTTCACATCTGAGCATTAATTTTCCTGTTTTAAAATTGCAAAAGCAAGAACATTAAAATAACAGAAACGGCTTTGCATGAAGAATAAAAATGGGGACATCAAGCAGCACAAAGTCACAGACTAAAAATGGTACTTTGAGATTTATCCTCTGTAGTTTCCCCTGCTGCCATGTACTTCACAAAAAAATAAATATAATGCCAATAAATAATTGTTCATGAGCTAATAATAGCACCACTGCAAAAACAATTAACGCCATGTAGAACTGGTATCCTGAAAAACCTCACCGGAGTTAACACAGAAGTAAACCAAATGCCTCTGAATTAGTATGCAGAACAAGGCACGTCTTCCTTCACAAAAGTGAAGCTGCTCTCTAGAAATTTTCATAATGGTGCCGGTAATCTGCTTACCTGCAGCAAAGAGCATGACTGCAACTGGTCTGTAGAACCGCCTCCGAGACCCCACGCAGATAGAGATCAACCCAACCAGGAAAGCTATGAGAATGATGGCAGCACCGCCCAACAGCAAAGCCAGAGTAGCTATCTGCCAGTCTAGGGGGAAAAAAAAAGAGGAAAAAAAATAATAATACAATTTCAGTAAAACAAGCCCATAGGCTCTACAGAAACAGCAGAATATGAGGAACGCAGAGCTTGCACCAAGGCTCGGGTAAATAAACAACTGTGCTTTGGATTTCTTTTCTTCTAATTAGTGAAACACCTTTATACAACAGTTGTGACTCAGGAGCCAAGTGCTGCAACCTCCCATACTTTTTCAAGGCTTAGTTGGCCTCGTTGGGATTTTGGCTCGAGTAAGACTGAATAATTTGGTCCACTGGTTTTTGCCCAATTTAGAATGAGAAACTGAGGCTGGGTCAGGATTAGCTAGCGTGTGACCAGTCTGTCACAACTTTCTCACAGAAGAGAGTGAAAGTCAAGGCTCTGCTTGAACTGATTAGGGTGACATTGGAAGGGTCATCTCATATATATATGATGGAGGCTCATCATATAGACCTGTCACTTGGGAAGTACCAAGGCCACAAAATATGTATAACGAAACTAAGGTGAAGGAAGGAGATGCTCAAAGGAATAATAAAAAAAAAAATTTCAACACTAAAACAAAAAGGTGAAAGTCAAGCCCTTATAAAGGCAGTAATGATCATTAGATGCAGACCGAGTCAAATCCGAAGTCCATTTTAAAACATCAGTTATCCTAAAACGACAGTTTTTCTTTTCTTCCCCCAAAAGCAACTTCTGGATTTGGCCCAGTGCATTTTCTACTTATTTTCATACATAATGGATGCAGTTACAAACAACTGTAAGCTGCAGTCTTAAATGACACAAAACAAAATCCATTTGCAAGCTGATGGCCATCATGGGTCTATACAACATCCAAGATCTAACTTAAGAGCTTCTGTAGGATGTTAGAAAGGCACAGGCTTTGTGCTGTCTCCCTTTGCAAAAGAGTATGTATATAAGACCTTGTCTCTCTCCAGTAACGGGCATCAAGAAAAAGAATCAGATCACTATTTACTGTTTATCACTACCATTTAGTAGTTCAAGGAAGATGATCTAAAAATCAGCTTGTGGGAAAAGGACCTATGGATCCAATGCATCTCTCATTATTTTGAAAATACTAGCACTCACACGCTATTCAGAATAAAATGTCCAAATGCATTACATAGTTCAAAGAAAATAAGATTATTTCCAAAATAAATTTAGAGAACTTAAGGCTACTAAAATAAGAACAACAACAAAAATCCACATTCTCTTTTTGAAAAAAGCACAATTCAGTGTTTTAAAAAACAGTACATCCAGTTTCAATCTGCTGAAGATACCGACAGTGCAGCTGTGGGGTTTGGGAATGGAAGGCTGGCAGCTATTATCACCAAAAAGCCTTCATATATTATATGAAAAAGGATGAAGGAGATTAAAAGAAGAAAGGGAATAGAAGAGCTATAAAAGCATTGCTAAAAAAGAAAGTTATTTTAAAGGCATGTTTGTGCACGTCCACACATTTATTTTCATTCTTTTTAGAAATCCAGGGATGTTGTTTACTTATACTTTAATTACTAAGTACTCAACCTTCCAAGCTATTTTACTCCTTGTTTTCTTATTGGACCAAAACCCAAGGCCGGGAACAATCTCTCATTCTCCTACCTTTAGCATGCAATCTCTAACGTCAGTTTGCTGTGTGTCCCACTGCTTTACTATTATTGGGACGGAAATACGATTTTAGTTATGGATGGGAATGTTATGACGAGTGGTTTTTAATGTTGATATGATCCTTCAGAAACACCAAGTGGTTAGTGTACTGATGATTTAGAAAGTATTCTTCCAATAGCAGAGTGCATTACAGATATAAAATACCGAAATAAATAAACAGAATGGACCACTTTGGAACAACATGAAAGGAATCCTTGCACTAGAAAATTACACAGATACAAAGACTAGACACATAAATCCATATCGCCCCGAAGTTAAAAGCCATACAAAATTGATGAAATAAATCAAAGTGCCAGATGGGAAAACTCAGAAACTAAGATTTTTGAAAGCCACTACAAACAATAAAATATTAAATGTTATCTTTGCATTGATCAGATGCCAAAGTCTAATGCAAACGAAAGGTGTGCAACATTGGAGTAGCAACTAAATGGAAAAAAAGTTGGGTATCCTATTGCTTTCCAAAAGCACGTTGGCAAGACCACTAATCAAGTGAAAATAACAAAGGCAAAGATGACATATAAGCGTGGGGTTAGAATAGAGTTTAGCTTCCAGGACAGATATATCTATGGATTTTGGAAAGGTTAAAAAATAAACAAACTACCTTACTACAGTACTGATGTGGGAGGTAGAAGGACAAATCAGTGTTGGAAGACACCTACACTCCCAACTAAAAAAGAACTGATTTAGTTAAACAAAATTAATTTCTTGAGTAAGAGAACGTACTCAGTGATGTTGACAGCAGGACAAAACCGAGGCTTTTAATGTTCCTCACTACTAGCTGAGGATCAGGTATTGAGGATCAGGTATTGAACGTTGTGCTCTGGGCCACAATGTCTGGAATTGCCTCGATTTTAGCTCCAACCTCTGTTTACAGGAGCATATAATACCACTAGCCTTTACCTTGAGCTGCAGCTGAGAGGGATTCTGGTTAAAGAACATCACGAAGGTCAGATGTCAGTGCACAAAGAATACTGGCCTGAGTTTTCCTATACTGCCTACCATGGAAACTCCATGTGTAAATCTCCTTGTCATTTTAGAAAAAACTCAACTTTCAATTCTGAAAGCCATTTGACCTGGTGACAAAATAAAGCTTATGTTGGATTAAGTAAAACCTTCTGCATGGGCCTTCTACTTAACAGCAATTATTTTTTTAAGAAAAAATCCAGGCCACTGGACTTTATACAAGAGAAAAGAAACATCCAAAGAAAATTCAATCACTACCTCTGAAGGAAGAACACCCTGTAAGTTAGATAGCTACAACAATATAACCACATGTAGCAAATGCAGTTTTCTACAATAAAAATCTGTGGTTTTCCTCAGACTACCCAGGAGTGATTTATAACACACAGCATCAAAATGGGAACAGCAGATTGCTCTGTTACATAGTGTTACTGGTACACAGAACATAAACATCGTAAGCCTACTTTAGAGTATCCAAAATATACTTGCAGCATTTCTAGGCATGCACCAATCTTGCAAGTAAGTTACTATACTCAGTTCAGGAGCCTGGGCATTTCAGCGAGACCACTTGTTCTCATAGAGATAGAAACATGCATAAACATGAGCAAAGTGGGACCTTACAGAGATAATTAGTAGTTTTCTGGATTCAAAACACAATTTGGTTACACTTTACGAATACACATCAGTATTTTTCACTGTACATCACTACAGTTTATTTACACTACACATCCACTATCTAAGAAAAATGTTAGGAACTAGTAAAATTGCACTCCCACAAATCTTAAAGCCTAAAAGTTTATTAAAAAGCACTGTCATCTCAGAGCCGTGCCCAAATTAACTTGTTTTGTTGGTTTATAACAAGACTCAACAGAAAGCATAACTTTTGACTTTTTCAGTGTTCTAGCATTTTAGCAATATGTTAAGAATTACACTGGTAATGCCACCTATCCCATCCAAACAACTAGAATTAACACATTTTTGACAATCATTGAGTAACTCAAGACATATTTCTTAAGAAAAGCCTCACATAATGTATACTGGGTTTAGGTGTGAAAATCCAAACATAGTTTTGTACTGCACAAAGAAGCACCACAATGTCTATAACCATTTGAAATATACACTGCAGTTCTGACAGTGATGATAGTGTTTGCATCGTTTTTATTATAACAATCTGCCTATTAGTTTAGGGATGTGGATTTCAATATTTGGAAATATAGATAAATGTGAACCTAGGTACTTAACGCATTTTCAAAACATACATGGTGTAAAATTTATTAAAATTACCATCTTCAGTAAAAAACCAAACAAACCCCTAAACTATGATGGTAACGCTTCTTTTCAGTTAATTCCTCATGCATAAGTCAGTGCCTTTTCCTTTTTGTAAGGACAGCTTGGTCTCATCACTCTTTGGAAATTCTTCCCGTTTCTAAATGATATGGAAGCACAGTGTTAATTGCACATTGAAGTGTGCGACTCTCCTCCCTTCTTCCCCGCAAATGAAATGACCTAAGGCTTTAAGCTGTATATTCATTTTTAATTAAGAGCAGCTCTATCTGCTCTATTTCTTGGGCAAAATAATACTTCAGTACTAGGATAAAAATCAGAAAAAGCCATAAAAGAAGGAGAAAACATTGCAAAGTTCTGAGATGTTTATTTTAATAACTGGGTCATTTTTTAACACAAGAAAGAGCAACGCAAAAGGATAGCACTGTCACAGATTTCATGTTTTCAGCAAGTTCCCCAAAAAGTAAATATTTTATCTACATGGTATTCTACAGTAAAAGTGGTGGACATAAAAACATATTGTGGAATATGTGAAACATTTGTGTGTAGCGGTCTTTCAGATAATGCAAGTGAACTGAATTAATCTCTTAAGAAACAATCAAGTATTCCCTCCTTTCATACAACGGTTCTCCACCAAGTCTTCTCTTCATAGAGGCTGAAGTAAGAAAATGCATGCAGGTGTTACATGATGAAGATAATGACTGACCACCTTCTAGCACTAAACAAAACCTTGGTAAGAAATAAAACACAACACCACTCTTAGGTACGTTTTTCTGATTCATTGCAAAGCTTCCACTTATCACGTACCTGCCATCAGCCAATAAATATTCTTAGAAATTGTAATATAGAATTTAAATTCAAGAATAATGAATTTGAAAGAACGCGTCAAGTAAAGCATAGAAAGTTGAGGCACCCACGCATAAGAAATTAAATATAACCCACTGAATGTCATAACAATCAACGAAGGTAAATAAGATAGCTAGAGATATTCCTAATTGCTTCATATTCAAAACTATTTCTAAGTCTATAAACACTCATCAGCTGAGCCATCAAATAGCCAGCAAAAGTTTAAAATGTGTAGTGAT